GGGGGGGGGAGAGCGGAGGTAGGAGAGTGGGGGGTTGTGGGCTGGTCAAACCTGTTGAATTACTGCCACTTTTTCCGTGTGTCACTGACATATTTGCAGTGGCTATAAAACCACTAGTATTAAAGAGACTGCAGGACTGCGTTTAGCCCTTATAGCTGCCTAACTTGAGAAATACTTGGAGTGGAGTGTTCATGCTGAATCATACACTAACAGGGATGGATGAGAGGATCAGCCTGCATGCAACCTTGCAGATATGCTCCACAGGTACACGACAATGTTTCTTATATAAGGGGTATTAGGCTTGTGAGCACTGCTGGACACATTAAACATACCTTTTGAGATGCTACATGAACTTCAAAGTCAAAAATAGTGTTAATCAAAACCTCCCAGGCTTCATCTCTGTCTGCAAAAAACATGTATAAGATGCTGCTCAGATCTGTTTTCTTAGAGTATAAAAAACAAAGAAGGCACACACACAAAGATTTTAATGTTGGTCATGGGACTCTGGCAGAGGGTGACCCAGCTCCTCCTGTAAATAATTTAACCTCAGAGTTATTCTTCTTTGCTCTAACATTAACATGAGTGCTGGTGCACTGTACAAAATAGGACAAGGGCTTGCTGCCAAGACAGCAATTATCCGCCACCCCTCAACCTTGTCCCGCAGACTCCCTGCTCCAGGGCGCGCACCGCTGCAGCATTCTCCACAGCAGGAAGGAGCTACTCCCTGAACCCACCGGTGGGCTCCCATCACCTCACACTGTATCATGCAATTAATTAACCAGCTGAGCATGTTCTGCATGCGACATGAGTAATTCGGTCCACTTACACTTTGTCTGTGAAGGCCGGTGGTTGGGCTTTGCGAGCGGTGTGGATCACAATGATGAAGACCACGATGAGGAAGAGAGCGAGGACTGCGCCCATCACAGCTCCTGCCACGGTGATGGAGTTTGACCTCTCTGCTTGAGACTGGTCTGAGACAGAGAGGACAGAGAACAGTCCAGGATACCACCAACAACACAACGATGACAGACCACTAACATCCTGGCAGTGAATGAATCAAAGTGTACACACAGTCAGGCGTCGATTCAAAGATTCTCATTCATAGTCCCAATTTACAACATTTAACCCATAAAGACAATTAGAGTAGAGCAACAGCAGTTTAGACCTAGAGGTAAGGAGAGTAAACTAAGTTGTTCCAGTTTATTTTACTTATCTTATGGAGATAATATTCTGCCCACATTAAAGATCTGACTATAATTAGAAGCACTACTTCTCTACAGTATGAGAGTCCAAACTGCTGCTGTCACTTTGGTTGGTGCTACATTGGGTCAGCCAGACGACTGCTCAGCTGTGATTGGTTGTCACATGCATCAACTCAATTATCAAACAGTTGTAGAAAAAGAAAAAGAGTCAGGAGAAAAATGTCACTGCTCAAAAAGGAAATCAAAACAAAACAAAACCCCTCCGACCTACACTTTGCAGGTCGCCACCCCTTTTTGTTTGTTTTTACTTCACTATATTTGATTGAGCTCTAAGTCACGCGCATGCAAAATGTTTGGAGAAGCCTACCTGATTAGCCTTTATTTAGCCACCCAGCAAATTCTTGTTTAAAACACTACCAGCCATCTCAACAGCTGTGAAGGTTGAAGTTGTCTTTGAAGTAAAGACTGAAATAACAACTTTTGATGCTTTCTGCCTTTTAAATATGGCTGTTTGCTGTTTGTCATTTCAGTAATTCAGATATGTTAGGTTTGGGCTGTTGGTGACAACTTACTCTGAAATCTGAGTCGGAAAGTTGAAATTTTGTGATTCCCAACTCTGCCTTGCAAATTTGTATTCATTATATGCTTATTTCTTTATTTATTCATTTATTCACTTTCAAACTGAAACAAGCATCCTTGAATTTTTAACATGGGTACCACTGTCATTTCTACATGCTGAATATTAAGCTAGTAGGCTAGTGGCGTGGCTAGTGTGGGAACAGTTAAGCCCACCATAATGCATTATTGCACTTCTTACAACTTGTCTTGTTAAACAAATAAATTGCATAAATCTGTGACACACTCCTTTACTACTTTTAGATTTGCACAGAATAACAAGCTCCCCAAAACTGAGCTTTTTATTGAGCCATTGCACAAACCACAGCTGTGCAATGATCTGATTTTACTTTGTAAAATCAAGTTGAAACTGAGGGTTTTAACCCTTTATTGTTCAGTCCAGACTGAAGTATGCTAAAGGACTACTTGGAGAAAGATTATGCATACTGGAAGCATGATCTTTGGTCAGTTGAAACATGAATAGAGCCCTTTGGCCACAGAGATAAGAGGAGGAGAAGGGTACAACTCAAAGATCGCCGTTCCCACAGTTAAACACGGTGGTGGGAGTATTACACTGTGGGGGACATGTCAGTGCGCCGGGAATTGGGAATCTCATCAAGGTGGAAAGATTTTGGAAAGATGTGGAAAGATTAAATAAACATGGATGTGTGACAATTTCAAAAGAAAACCTCAAGCAGTCAGCAGCAAAACTGGATCTGGCTAATTAGTTTGTCTTCTAACACAGTGGCCTAAAACATGTCACTCCTGGTGAAGAACTACCTCCAGAGGACCAAAATAAATGGTACTGATTGGCCTGCACAAAGCCCTGACTTAAATTGAAAATCTGTGGGGTGAACTGAAAACCAAGGTCCATGCCGTTAGACAATCAAATCTGGAGGAGGTTGAGAGATTCACCAAAGAAGAATGGGGTGGATGCGTGTTAGTGGCATGTTGGAATTAGGTGTTTAGCAACACTTGGGAAATACTTTTTAGTTTAGTTTTCATAGGGAAACTAATAATGGTTTTCTCATCTGTATATTTCCCAGCAGCTACAAAGACAGTTTCTCTTTTCAAAAGAAAAAACAAAATAACAAACACTACTGGCCATGAAAAAAAAAGTGCTGATACTTTGCTCCCAGTAGCCTTTTACTGTGTCCGAGTCTGTACTGGACAGCCCTGTATTATTGGTATTCATGAAAGGGCTTTTGCAATTTAACTGAGGTATAAAAATGCCATTTAAAAACTCTGTTACTCACTAAAAGTTCACTGTCAGGGTTAAAACACTGAATCCATCCGTTGCTTTACCTCAGTCTTGTGTGTGTGTAACAGTATTATCAAAGTGTTGAATTAGCTTTGTTAGAACATATGCTCCATGCTGTCCACAGAGGGGATTAAGGATTAATCGTGATTAGGATGCATTAAACTCGCAAAACAGCAAGCTTTGGCAAATCAGCAGTAATGTATAAAACCAAATGTAGGACACTAAAGGAACTGAAGGACAAAAGGTGACAGAGGAGGCATAAGCATAATGGTCAATTCCCCTTGATTTAGCTCTTGAGAGGGGAAGAAAAAAAAAAATCAATGTGCTGAGATGAGAAATCTAAATAACAGTTCAATTATGATGCATATTGAACAAGCTGGGATTTCTGAGCTCACCCCCGAAAGTCACTTCTTCCGCCTCCTCCATTCCTGCCGTCCTCTAACGGTTAATAACCATTCGATTACCTTTGATGGCTGCTGAACTATGTCAAGAGCCTCTTGAGTTGATCAAAACGCCTTTAAAAATGTAGTTCATCAAGCCGGCTGCTTTAATGCCTTGTGACAGACATTTTCAGGGGACCTGCACAGGGTGGCTGCTTTAAAGCCACAACGCATGGAGCAGCTGTAGGAGTTCATTAACGGAGGTAGTGTTTCGTGCATGCTTCTAGCTAAGAAATATCGAGGCAAATTGTACTCAGAAACAATCCTGCATGTTCCGCCCTGACATTTTCTCCTCATTGTTTTAAATACCATGTATTCTGGGGAGGGGTGGTGGGCCTCGGATTACTGGTGTTAGTGGTGGATCAACTGCCCCACACTGGGATCCGGCTTTTTACCGTCCCTTCTCGAGTCTCTCCCGCTTCAGCACTTCATCACACAAACAATGCTGCTGTGAATCCAGCAGAAGCACATGCTGATCAGTGAGGTCAGTTTCAGACGGACCCTTTCTGGCCAAAACAGAAGACAGACAGAGCGAGTTGGTCAAACACCGCCCCCCTTCCCACCGATACTTAAGGCTCAGGGGTCACACTATTGCCTAGACAACAGACCCCCCTGGGAAGCAGATGCTGGTGTAATAACGATGGGGGGGGGGGAGGTTAGAGCAGCATTTCAGTATTTTGAGTTTTTGTGATAGTTACAATGTGATGCCACCTCTGCTGGGGAGTTAATATCAAAGTCTCTCCCCTCACTCACAGTTGTCAGAGCTGCATCCCTCTGCGCTGCCTGAGACGTTTGCTCACTCCTTTGTGTCTTGTGAAAAGTATCCTTGGAAACTGTTGTGTCGCAGGCAGCGAATCCGCTGATCTTCTGCACGAGTGTCTCAAACAAATTCAAGCATTGGGGGGTGACATCATACTGCCACCGAGCTGCTTCCCCATGCGTTTTCACACTGCCCTGTTTCAAGGTCAGGATGAGAAACTGCTGTGACCATGATAAGATCTGTAGGAGACAAGACAGGTCAGCTGATGAAGACTTTTATGGCAAGAACGTCTTGAGGACCTAGAGTGCCAGCGCAACACTGAGTCACACTTGTATATGTCCTTATAAGCCAGAAGAGCTCTCTGTAGTGCTGCAGGGAGTAATGGGCCATTTTCAGTCTGTCTGCACGAGCTGTCACAACAGCACAGCCCAGCTCTGAGCTCCACGCAGGCCCCTACTTTGTGTGGCCAGGTAGAGCTCGTAGGACGACAGCCTCCATCAGCAGCTCCAGATGAGCTTGTTGCCATGGGGACAGTCAACGGGCTGGAGAGCAGGGACTTTGGGCCAGTCAGAAACACTCAGCGTTTAATTTTACCAGCTGGTAGACAGTGGGAGAAAGACATGGGGGTGGGAAGGTGGTGGATTTACAAAGGAGAGGTGCTGCAGGGGAGCGCAGGGCCTTTCTGTCCTGAAACAAAGCAAACTAGGACTATTAATGAGGGAACCTCGAGCACATGAGGTGCTGGGTCTCCCCCGACCACAGGAATACCACTGGAGATCAACTGATCAGTATTTAACCAGATGGCAAACGTAACAGGCTAACATCCGAAAGAAATATTTGTTATTAAAGTGTAATGAGGATCAGTTGAAGTGAAGGAGGGGAAAAAAAAAAGAAAAAAAAGAAAAGAAAAGGGAATTACATCTGTGGTGTCCCACATATGCATACTGGATTTGAGAGGTGTGTGTGTGTGTGTGTGTGTGTGTGTGTGTGTGTGTGTGTGTGTGTGTGTGTGTGTGTGTGTGTAGGGGGGGAGGTTATGCAGCATTACGCGTTACGGCGCTAGAGATGATGTCATTTATAGATGAACAAAGAGGCTGAGACTGAGCAGTCTGAGTAATAGGAAGCTCAAAAACCTCCAGAGAATAAAAGAAAGAAAAAGAATTCACAGGTGCTAAGGTGCTTTATTGAACTAAAGTATCTCAAAGAGATTGACAAAATAATGTTTGACTGCTTTTGATGACATAAATATTTTCCCTCGTTCAAGAAATGTACATTTTCTGTATATACAAAAAACAACCCACAAAAAAAAAAGAAAACCCCCCTGAAAAACCAAACCAAACAACATGACTGCAAGGTGCTTTTCATTGACAATTTGAGACTGAAGGTAATTATACATTTCTCTGAATAAAAAAAACAAAAAAAAAAAACAGTGGCTATACAGAAACCAAAACCCCTGACAGAACAGTACAGAGGATGCAAGTCATTTTACATCCAGATGTATTCAAGCTTTGTTTTTTTTTTGTTTCTTAATGCCTTTAGGTTCGGAAACATACTGCGTTTCACTGCCACAAGGGCAGAAAGAGTGAATTTGGCACTACGAATTCCTCCTAAAATACAGAATGCAATGAAAATCAAAACCCAGAGGTGACACATCAGGTCATTACATACGCAGGTAAACGATAAACACATTTCT